ATCCCCGAGAAATATTTTACCCCTACTTTATATACAATTCTTTGAGATTCGGTCAATTATTTCCCAAAAAATTGGAATCGGTACCGGTTTCCAAAAAGATCTGTAACTAAAAATTATACACTTTATAGCACTCCCCGGAAAATTCTACCCCTACTTTATATACAATACTTTAAAATGCAGTCCACTAACGAATGAGTAGTTCGCGGTCAGACAGACATACAGACATACAGACGTCAGGTACTTATATATATATGAAGTGATTTATTCGAACACGCAATGTATGTAGGAATGCATTACACATTTAATTAATAATAATTGTTTATTAATAATAGTTTTCTTATTACGGTATATATTTTTCTTAATAAAATATATATCAAAATCAAAATTTGGTGTAAAAATAATTGGTATCAATATTACGCAACATAACATATATGTATAGGTATTTACTGATAGCGTATGAAAAAAAATACATTTTAATATTCTCCGTGGACTAATGCCTCAAAATGTATAAGTTTACTTTATAGGTAATATAAATCATCACATATAATCAATATGTACAGAGATTACACTTTACTATAATAAATTGACAAGAAAAGATAATTCAATAACGTAAATGTATTTACAGTAATAAAAAATAGAATTTTATCATTATTTATCTTATGCAAATGTATCAAAAAATCTGTAACTTATTGTCAGTCACAGAGAGCACGGCGAATGCATTAAGCAATTTGTAGCATCTTTTAGCTAAAAATAATATGAAAATTGATAACAACACGCGGTTAGAGACATCTAAGAGTAATAATGTTCAAAATATTTCATATATCACATGTATCTCTATAAAAAGATATCGACCATATCCTATTTGTTTAATATATCATATATATATATTTCCTTAAAGTAATTTCTTTTTGTAAGTGCATGCACGTACATGCATGCGTGCAAATTTATCCAATTCTAGTTTTGTAGGAATTAAATAGAAACCGTTTATTAAAAGAAGAATTCTTTCAAAGAATCATTCTTTCTTCTTACTCGCGAATATAAATTTAAATTCTTAAAAAGTTTTACTTTTAAATATGTATAAAAGCTGAAAATCAACATATAAATTATATATATTTGTGTTACAGAATAATTTATTATTATTAGATGATTCAGAAATAGATGTATTATCTATTGTACCTTTCTATGAAAAATAGTTTTTCGTTAAATGAGAGGAATGCAAAATGTTTAGTTCTAGTGTTTTCAGTATAAATAGCATATAATTATATAACTTTGTTATTAAATTTCGTGAATTTATCTGCTTTATCTCGTAATTGTAAATCGCAAATATATCCAATGTGAATAAAATAACTTCCAATTATAATTACAAAGTATTATATACAAGTATTATACAAAAGTATTATACATGTTTCAAAATAACCGCATACACACACACACACACACACACACTCGCGCGCGCGCGCGCACTGTGTAATCTGCATAATTACTTAATAATACAAGTTTTTATAACAAATTTTAAATAATTTATTTCAGATAAAGAAAACATACAAATTATTTTAAACAAAAGACGCAATCACCCTCTATGTATGTTCACTATGTATGTAATTTTTTTCTTTGTAAATTAATTTGTATATCTTCCACGTTGTAAATGTTTTAGATATTCGCATATATTATGTTTTGTAAATACAAAAACTACAATTATTATATAACTAGAATTATTATGGTTAAATTATATATCTATTATTTGGAGTTGCGTTTGGTCGGAGTTGCGGAGAGTAGACGTGGAGAATCAGGTGGAATTTGGAGAGCTAGAAGAAGCGGTATAGTGGAGAGAAAAAGGAGAGTAGTAGGAAGTAGGAAAGAGCGGAAGCAGGGCAATAAGCAGAGATACGGTGAGTCAAAGTAGGAATCAGGAAGGTAATAATTAATAGATCTTAAAAAGTCAACAGGTGAGAAGGTTAGGGCGGCAGGAGAAGGCACGTAAACGGAAGAGGTGGACAGGACGCCACCTGTTGGAGAAGGAAGGAGGTAAATTACCGGCAGGGAAGGAGCAGATAGAGATAATTGAAAAGGGCGGAAAGAGTAGACGTAGAGGGAGCCACGGCGAATATACAGTAATTAAAGGTGGCGAATGGAGGCAGAGAAGGAAGGAATAGTAGAAAGTAGACAAAGAGGTGACAAGGAAAAGAAAGGAGAAGAGGAAGGAAAGAAAACGAAGGGAAAACCAACAAAAACGGAAGAACTGGCCAAACTGAGAGGAAGAGCAGACAGCTTAGGAACAGGGACAATCAAAGATTACTTACAGAAGAGGAAAAGAGAAGGAGCAAAGGAAGACATAGCCAAAGCAGAGAAAGAAATATTGGAGAAATTTAGCGAAGCAAGAAAGGTTGGCAGATCACCACCAAATAAAATAAAGAAAGGAGATGAGGAAGAGGAAGAAAACATGGCAGCAGAGGGGATTAAGGAAATTTTTAGGAAACTAGAGGAACAGGAAGTAGAAAGAAGAAAAGATAAAGAAGAAATAAAAAAAAAAATAAGAGAACTGAAAGAAGAATTTAAAAGGAGAGGAGAAATTTGGGAACAGCAAAAAAAGTCGCTAGAGGAAAGAATAAAAAAGGTAGAGGAGAAAATAGAAAAAACAGAATTGAACATAGAAGACAAGAGCGAAGGAAGATACTTAATAAAAAAACTGAAAGAAATGGAAAGAAATATGGAAATGGCGGAGAGAAGAAGGAGGAGAAATAACATAGTTGTGAAAGGAACAGCGATAGGAAACGAAACAGGAAAGAAAGAGAAAGTAGAGAAGATGATAAGCGAAATAAAAGAGATGAAAATAGCTATCGAACAAGTGCATGAAATAGGAAAAGGAAGTGATAAAATGACAGTGATGAAATGTAAGAGCTGGGAGGACAAAAGAGAAATAATGACAAAAAGAAAGGAACTGGGTAAAAAATATGAATGCTATCTGGACGACGATCTAACTAGATTGGAAGGGCAGATACAAAAAGAGATAAGAAGAGTAGCAAAAGAAGAAAGAGAGGCAGGAAAAAAAACCACGATTGGATACCAGAAGATGTGGATAGATAATAAAGAGATGAAATGGAACGAAAGTAAGGGGAAATTGGAGGAAGAGAGTGGGTTTCGAAAGTAGTAAAAGAGAGAAGGGAGAAAACGAGGGAAGAGACATAAGAAGCAGAGGGAGAGGAGAGGAAATATGGAGAGGGAACAAGGAAAAGAGCAGGAAATATGAAGAAAAAGAGAGTACATTAAGCATAGGCTTCTGGAACATAGCTGGACTAAAGAGAAAAAACGAAGAATTCTGGAAAGAAATGGAAAGCTGGGATATAATAGCGATGCTAGAAACGTGGGTAGAGCAAAAAGATTGGCGCAAAATCAAAGGAATGTTATCAGATAAGTACGTATGAAAATGCCAACCTGCGACAAAAGAAAAAAAAAGGAAGAGCAAGAGGAGGGATAATAACTGGTGTTAGGAAAGAAATAGTGGCAGGTGGAACAGAAGAGAGAGAAGAGGAAGGAATTGTAGAAAGAATAGCAAAGACGAAGGAGGGAACATGGAAGATTATAGCGGTATATGTGAACAACGATATTGAGAAGAAAATAAGGTATATAAAGGACTTCACAAACGAGGGGGGATTAGGGGAGCAAATAATATGCTCTTCATACTTCTGTTGGCAGACATAGAAGAGACAATGAGGAAAGGACAAGATGGAGGGATAGTTGTAGGAAAAATAAAATTCTGGACGTTAGCGTACGCGGATGACATAGTTGCTGTAGCAGAGGATGAAGAGGAAATAAAGAGAATGCTGAAAAGACTAGAAAGATACTTTGACAGAAAGAAGCTAAGAGTTAATGTAGGGAAAACAAAAGTAATGAGATTTAGGAAGGGAGGAGGTAAAATGAAGAAAGTAAAGTGGAGCTGGAAGGAAGAAGAAATAGAAGAGGTGAAGGAATTCTGCTATCTAGGCTACACATTCCAAAAGAACGGAGAACAAGATGCGCATATAAATGAAAGAGTAAGAAAAGCGACCTAGCAATGAGACAGGTATGGGGAATAGGAAAAAGGTTATTTGGAGGAGACTGGATAAGAAGGATCAAGTTATATGATTCGCTGGTTGCAAGCATAGCCTTATATGGGGCAGAAGTATGGGGATGGAAAGAAAGAGAGAAAATAGAAAGAATGCACGAAAGGTATATAAGGTGGACGTTAGGCCTGGACTGGAATACGCCCGGATATATGATAAGAGAGGAAACTAAAAGAGATAAAGCAAGAATAAGCGCTGGTAAAAGGGCGATGAAGTATGAAGAAAAATTGGAGAGAGGAGAAGGAAATGAGATTGCAAGAGAGTGCTGGAGGGAAATAAGAGAAAAGGATAAGAAAGAAAAGTCAAAATGGGAAGAAGAAAGAAAGAGCTTTTACGAGCGAAGAGGTTATGCAGTTAAGGAAATAGAGAGAAAAAGAGGGGAGGGATAGAGTAGCATTGAGGAATTAGCGGAAAGAGACAGGGACATTCAGATTCAAGAGAAGGACGAAAGGATAAGAGAATCAAGATACAACAAATGGTACAAGGAGATAGTAGAAAACAGGAGGCCTGAATACCTGGAAAGAAAAGGAAAAGAACAATCTATGATTAGGATAGCGAGATTCAGATTAGGTAACGAGATGAGAAGCGGAAGATACTGGAAAACAATAAAAAAAACAGGCTGCAGGATATGTGGCGCGGAGGCAGAATCATAGGAGCATGTTTTAGAATGGTGCACAAGAGACGAAGAAGGAGAGGAAAGAGAAGAAATTAGCAAAAGAATCAAAAGAATACTAGACAGCAAGGGTGAAGGAGAAAAGTAGATGGCGGAATTAAAAAGGAAAAGAAGGCAAGCGAGTACAATGACAGCTAAGCAGAGAGATTAAATAAATGTCTTTTGATTTCAGATAAGCAGGAGGTGAGGGAATAAAGATGGAGCGAAAGTTAATTTGCAAAGGAACGATGGCAATCGACAAAGAGGCGATAGAGATGGTAACAGAAGAACGAATGGTGAAAGTGATGAAGGAGTACAAGGAGGAGATAAGGGAAATGAAAGAGGAAATAGAGAAGCTAAAAAGGAAGGTATACAGACTCGAACAATGCTCAGGTAAAAGGAAGAGAAACGAGAAGGAAAGGGAGAGAGTGAGGAGGAAAATAGTAAGGTATGTAAAACAAAATGGTGGTACGAAGAAGAAGAAGAGAAAGACGATGAAAAAAGAAAGAAAAATGTGATAATTAGGGTCGAGAAGAAGAGATGGGGAGGAGGTAGCTCGAATTTGAATAAGGTGAAGCAACTTTTTACAGATGGGCTTAAGGTGAAGGCAGAGGTAAAGGAGGTGAACCAGATAGGACATAGAGGGGATTGGATAACAATCCTCGTAAAGATGGGAAGCGAAAAAGATAGCAGGAAAGTACTGGAAGCGAGAAGGAAGGAAGGAAGTAGGATGAAGGTAAAGATAGATGCAGATAAGTCGGTGGAAGATAGGATCAAAGAAGGAAAAGAGAGGGAAAAGAGAAAGGAAAGGAAAGAAGAGGAAAGTGGGGGGACCAGGAAATCGGCGGAGGACGAGATCGTAGAGAAGATGGAGGACCATCTGCTGATGAGCACGGACGAGGACGAAGCGGAGCAAAAGAAGAAGAGAGAGGGAAGGTCCTAGAAGGGGTGGGATGGGTAATAGGATATTGTAAGGTCGTAAAAGGCCAGGTGATAAATAAGTTGGGTTAAGGGATTTATGTAAAGGGTTGGGTACGTCCCTATAAAACGCCATGTGAAATGTGTATTATGTGTTTATATGATATAATATGTAAGGGTTTGGGAACGTTTGCCCAGAATAAAACGCCTTTCCAACCCCGGAAGGGGAAAGAATAAAGGATTGATTGATTGATATATCTATTATTTATTGTTGATATAATTTTAGAAAACAAATTTAAAAATTGATATTAAGATTTTCTTAGAAAACAATAAAATGTAGAAACAAAAATAGAAAACATTAAATTTAATATTCAAATTTTGTATAATAAAAAAAATAAAAATTTTTATTGATGTGTCTCAAATTGGTTTTTTCAGATTGTTATTCAAGAAACTTAACTAGATGCCACACAACATTCAATCGCTTATAAATTTCATTTGAAGTTAGTAAACAAACATCCAACCACCTCAATAATAGTTAATCTTATATTGTAATATCAATACTAATTCTAATAATTAACGAAATAATTGAATTATTTTCTATTTTCAACAAGAGTAATGGATATAATTACAACATTTGAGTCTAATAATTATTAAGTAACAGTAAAGCAATATACATAATATGCACTATTATAATTTATGTATAACAGAAAATGATATTATATCACAATGTAGTATGTTAAAAACAATATTCCAATATTTGAAGTCTATTTTATCACAACTTTAAAGAATAAAACTGTATTACATATTGTAACTGTATTACATATTGAAGCAATGCTATCTTGGCTATATAAATATGTGTGTACGTGTATGCGTCCGTTTCTTTTTTATTTCATTTGTATTTTAAAGGGTATAAAATTCTATAATTTTTTTACAATTTATAAAGTTTTTGACAAAGAATAACTTTTCAAAAGATTGTAAAATATGGCATTTGAAATTAAATGTATTTCTATTTTAACTGAAATAAAATAAATTATAAACAAGTGACAAATATAATAAAGGTAAAGCGTAAGGTAAAGGTAAAGGTAAAGAATATGTAATTATATACAAGAAAAGTGTAATTGCACTTTAAAGATATAAGTGTAAAAATAATATGTATGTAATGTCCATTTAATTTTACCTTTATAAATATTTTTTTTATAACAATTATTTTAAAGATATTATTGAAACATGAATATACATACATAACGTGTCCAATTTTAATAAACCAATCAGAAATAAACAAATATGTAAAACAATGAATAGATTATTTATACAAAAATAGCTTATGCAATAATTGTTTTATTTTAAGTAAGACATTCTGTAGGAAAAAATATAATAATGAGAGCATTAAGAAAGGAAACTTTTCGCTAAATAATTTATATTTTATTTTATGTAATAATGAGTGAATATCTGAGTAAAATCCTAATATAATTTTGTACAATATTGTTCAAATATTGTATCAAATATTAGATAATATAATTTGCAAGTACATATAAATTTCCATTTTTATTTTTAGCAAACATTTGATCATCAAAAAACAAATGCAATTTTTCCGATCATAAAAAATTGTTACTCGCGAATATATCTAAGAATATATATTTTTAAGTTTGTTGTTTATGGAATATATTTTAGACGTTGATAATGACACTATCTGTAATAAATACTGTTGCAAATATGTTAAAAATGTTGTTTGATATATTTTTTGAGACATTATACTGAAATAAAATATGCAATTACAATTTGTACTTTATATTTAACATCATAATTTTAATATTAAATGCAATAATAATAGATACATGACAATAAGAAACTTATTTTTCGCGCAAAGGCTATAATGAGAAGTAAGACCATTACACGAACATTAATAGATGTTACGGAAAATTTATATCTAATTTTTATATGTATTATTGTAACACATATATATTCCAACTATTCACTGTGCTCCGATCACAGCTGGACTTAAAACACAGTTATCGTTAGAACGTTAAAAAACCCTTCTATCCCTCACAATTAAATCTACACGATTTAATTATTAAAAAACTGTAAAGAATTTATTGCAAAAAACATCACCTCAGCCAGGGTTCGAACCTGGAACCTCCCTCATTCCGTGTAGGGCGTCGTACCACCGAGGCATGTGGTAATATTTTTCGCAATAACCGGTTAATAGTGTAATAGTATAATAGTTGTAAACAATAAGACGCATTGTAAGGTCAGCGTATATTAACAATAAGAAACTTAAAATTAGATAAAAATTTTCCGTAACATCTATTAATGCTCGTATAATGGTCTTACTTCTCATAATAGATATATGTATGTGAAAAAATTAATAATGTATATAAATTTTATCATGTATATAATTGCTCATTTCTCTGTAATCATTATACTACTTTTACAAGAAGAAAACAAATTTAAAAATAAAGTAAATTGATGGAAAAGAACTCGATAGGCTTTGTTTGTTGAAAAAGCATATACATATATATTTTAGTATAAACAATAAGATACACTCGTGAATAACTAAAGAATACCACGTGAACTGCGTGAGCGGGCTTACTTGCGACTTTAACCAAAAACTAAGAGACAGCGATCTGCACGCACGCTCGTATGCTCAGGTCTACCAATCAGAAGAAAAATAAAAGTGCATGAAAACGTACTCTAATCTGAGTCCAACCAATAACTAAGCGTCTTGAACATGTCAATTTCCACATAAATTATATTTATATTTCCCAAATAATTTTTCCCTAATATTTCCTATATTATTAAAATTATTTTTTGGTTTCCGCTTTTCATTCATATTCATATAACAGAACATTCCTAAATGACAAGGTTATACTCAATGTGCTTAAACTTTTTTAAATTTTTACTAAATATTTTTTAAATACTACGATACAAAAGTTTGTTATTTAGGAATATAGCATAAATATTTTATATGTATACATAAAATAATAGTTACAGTGTTTTCTTGTAACAGAATTAATTGTTTTAATTTCTTAAAACGCTCTCTCCCTCCCTCTCTCTCTTCCCCTCTCCCTCTGTAAACACGATATTACTTTACTTTCTTGTAAGTATATACTGTTTACATTTTATATATTAATACGTAATATTTATATCGATGGTATTATAAACATGCATAATTAAAATTTCTGAGCCGTACCTTAAAGAGGAACACTTGTGGCGGACGTAGATACTAGATATACGCATGTACTCGATTTTAATATTAGATTAACGCATATTTCATATCATATAGAGTTTGTATAAGGTAAAACAGATCAATCTCGATAAAAGCACATGTACATTTTGAGATATATAATATTCGATCATTTGATAATGTAAAACTAGGACTACATTGAGTCCTATAAGACCTCTAAAGAACTAGCCTCTTTTTTGGACGATCTTGTTAGTTTTAGTATTATAGAACATTTTTTTGTCCTTATCAGTGGGTTGAACTATGAAAAAGACAACGCCACTCCAGCGCCTAATATTAGTCCCGGCTTTTAGTCCCGGAGAGGTTAATAACAACATAATCTTTCGATTTCTTTGCAATTGCACACAAATATATATTTTCTATGTATTATATATATATATATATATATATATATATATATATATACATAAGAAAGCAATTTAGTGAGGTATGTGTCTTAAAAGTGATTTATTTCCTGACAGATGGATTGGAGGAAGTAAACTGATCTATTGACCATCATGTACATTTGAACTTATTAGATTTCTTTCTATGGAAACATGTTACTATTATTATTTATTCAACAAAACCTTGCTTTTTAAGCAATTTGCGGACTAGGATAACTAATGTAATTTAAGATATTCTTGTAAACTAACTGCAAAATATATATTTGTAAAACTTTAAAACCATGTCTTGATTTGTATACATAAATGTCAAGAAATAACAAGAATATATATATATATATATATATATATATATACAGGGTATCCGAAAAATCGCCTACTCCACTTCGGGAGGTGATTCGGGACCCAAAAACAAGCAAAAAACTTCATACAAACATAGGTCCGGAAATGAGCCGTTTCCGAGTTATAGCCACTTTTATGTTCAAAAATCGTAATTTAGAATCCGCTTGGCATCCCTCTTTCTTAATTATTTCTTAAATTAAAAATTTTTATTTTTAAATGCTTTTAATTTTTTTAATTTTAATTTTTTTATTTTTTTTCAATTTTTCAATATTTATAAATACGATTACATTATTTTTAAAAGAAATCAGTTGTTTTCACGGCTACTTGAAATCAGCTGTTTTCACGGCTATTCAAAATCAGTTGTTTTCACGGCTACTTGAAATCAGTTGTTTTCACGCCTATTCAAAATCAGTAAGTAAATCACGGCTTTTCAATAAGTTTCAAATTATTATTTAACAACACCTTACTTTTAGGTTGTATCTAATCTTTCCGTATTCATCAATGGATCGTTTAAGTTTTAATGAATTAGCTGATATGTATCTTATGTATGGTCTTGCTCAAAGTAATGCTGCCGAGGCAAGAAGATTATACATCCAGTCTTTTCCAAATCGAGATGTACCGGGAATAGCGTCTTTTCGAAATGTAGACAGAAACTTGAGAGAATTTGGTAATTGTAATTTAAAAAAATTGAAAATAAAAATTTACGATTTTTGAACATAAAAGTGGCTATAACTCGTAAACGGCTCATTTCCGGATCTATGTTTGTATGAACTTTTTTGCTTGTTTTTGGGTCCCGA